TTACATGTGAATTAATTAAATTATTGTCATGGAGATTATAAAGAGATTTTACGATTAGATATTAAACATTCCTGTCACCTTTATTTATAAAATATTGACGATATTATTTGGATTTGTATTAATCCTTAAACATTCCTGATTATCATTTTTAATATGATATTTCGAGGTAAACGTTGATCTTATACTTTGGATATTTCGAACATTTTCGTATGTAGATTTCGATTAATTCACTCGCAATTTATCTTATAGTAAATAAATAAATTTTTGTCAAATCAGGACACTACACTCTGACTCGAATGTTGCATTTTAATTAATTTAATTCGTTGGAGTATCGAAATGCAGATAAGCTGCAAAACTAGTTTAATTTGCATTTATTGCGTTTCATTCGTTCTCGTGCATCGTTATACGTATGTACATCTTTCTCCTTTTTTCTCCGATCACAATGGAAAATCTGTGCCAACACGTAGCCTCGAGACTTGTTCCGACATGATTGACCTGTAGAATCCGGCCTGCCTGTTTCACGAATTAAGTACACTCCGTTCAATCTAGTTTCAAACGACTACATAGTTGAAAACACTAACTATACATTAACGAATACTAACATTAATCAAACCCTAGAGAAACAAATTTTTTTGTATAAAAACAAACGACAAAAGTTTACATCTATTCCAAAGAAGTGGAATATCTCTCCTTTCATCCTCCATGTATTTATAATATATAAATAATTACGATTCGATTGTACGTTCTTTAAGATATTTTATTTAATATGTAGATTACTCTGTAGTCATTGGTAAATATTACGATTGATTTGTCGCGATACTCTAAATGTTTCTGAAGTTGATCATATTTTACCACTTCGATTGAAATATCCATCGTTTCTTTTCAGATAGTCAATCATTACAGTGGTGCGGATATATCACTCCGTATGTACATACTCACGCTGATTCCACCGACATTATTGCTGGGACAGGTGCGAAACTTGAAATACATGGTGCCATTTTCCATGGCCGCCAATATCTGCATGATGGTCGGGATCGCGATAACCCTTTACTACGTCTTCAGCGGTGTTCAAATGTCGACAAATGTGAAGTTGTTCTCGTCGTTCGAACAGCTGCCCATGTTCTTCGCGACTGTGTTGTTTGCCATCGAGGGAATTGGCGTTGTAAGTGCTCCTTTACTCATATTTAACAATCACTACCAAATTACCATTTAGTATACTCCTTTACTCATATTTAACAATCACTACCAAATTACCATTTAGTATATACCATTTAGAAATTTAAATACTTACACTTTTCATTCTTTCTTCGTGAGAGTACTATCAACGCAACCTCAGTTGAATTATAATTGATTAAGTCACGTTTCAAACATTTTTAAAGATTAAAGATACTACGAATCGGGTCATGTTTGTGTTCATTCTTACGAAGGAACCTCGACAAACATTGGTAATAATCTCACGAAGCTATACAAAGTAAAATCCACTAATAATAATGTCATGGACGTGTAAATCAATTTTCAATTTGTATCTTATATATACGTTACCTCAATAACGAGTAGGTAAACTCTGTAGAAACAATGTGAAACATTTATATGACGCCAACAAACTCTTCCTTCTTGACTTATAAACACTTACCCATCTCATACCTTGACGATTGTTTATAGAGTTCATATAAATACGATCTCTGTATGATTTTTCCTCTTTTCATATCGCACAATATCAAACTGACTTATCTCATTAGAACAAGGCTCATCATTTTATCATTAATACAAAGAAATTGATAAAAATGCTTGCGTTTTTAACTGCGATAAGCTCTTTTGAAAATTCGTCGTGTCATCCAAGCACCCACACTTCTTTCTGGGACACGTTATACAATTATACAGTGATGAAATTCACGTATTGATTCATTCAAATGAATTTTTTAACAGGTGATGCCCGTGGAGAATAGCATGCGGAATCCGACACATTTTCTCGGCTGTCCGAGCGTCCTTAACGTAACTATGTCGATAGTGGTGGCTATGTATGCTGTATTGGGCATATTCGGTTACCTGACTTATGGAGAAAAGGTTGAAGCGACCATCACATTGAGTATACCAATTGATGAAATGTAAGTATTCAGTTTGTCAATTTAAAAAATAAGCAAAGGGAAATTAAGGATATAAAATGTAAAGCTTGCTTCCTATTCAGTCACCTTTTTATTGGTTTATTCATATATATGGTTGTTAACAATAATTAATAGACGTTCTAAATTTTCCTCCATATAATAATAATAATAATAATAATAAAAGATTTCTTGATATTGAGTATGCTTCGAAATAAATTATACTTCGTTCAATAAAAATAAAAAAATAAATAAATCACATAATACAAAATAAATAAAATAAAATCCTCTTCTAAGGTGAACGTATTCATTTACAGACCGGGACAAGCAGTAAAAATTCTTATTGCCATAGCCGTGTTGTTTACTTATGGTCTGCAGTTCTACGTACCAATGGAAATTATGTGGAACGCCATAAAGGATAAATGTAGTCACAAGTTCCAAGGCCTGTGCGAAACACTTATGAGGATTGCCATGGTGATTTTCTCAAGTAAGTAATTTGTCGTCATTCGTAATTATTAGGTCCCTTAATCTCATCCAATAATTTATTAATGAATCGTAAAATTATATTTAATTCGTTGCTATTCCACAAATATTAATAAGAAATTAAGGTACAATGCATTTACGTCTGCTGACGTGCACTTGAATGAAATAGAACTCTCGTATTCTAATCATATTATTTGTTATTATCTTAATACGTTGCCCTTTGCGGCCTTTACTAGATACAAATTTCTAATGCCAACTAAAACATAAACTACCGCTTCGATTACTGTCTCTATTTCCTTTTTCCTGTAACGTCAAAGATATCGCTACGGAAGGCATTTCTCAGCATGCGATAAATCATAGACGATCGTTGAAATTTTTCATCAAACTTTATGTTGTAATAAATTGCTGCTACTAGTGGAAACAGATAAACACGTCGTTTCAATATTACCGTGATAACGAGTCGCGATTACTCTTCTAGTTTATTGCTGGTTTACGCTATCGAGCATCAACCAGACGCGTGTGTTACTTTCCTAAGAAAGAAAGAGAGAAGTACGAGTTGTAATGGAAAGGTGGAGGCAGACTGGGCCAGGGAAATACCTGTTGGTTCTGTAACCGCATGACTCACTCGTCAGTCGTAAGCACCGTTCAATGACTCGTGCACGTTCAACTCATTCAGAAACCTATACGTTGATATTTAGGTACACAGCTCGTGTTTTGACTCCTCGATGCTGGACTTCCGATTTCCTTAGTCATAGTAGAAATAAATTTGCATACATAGATGTTTCTTTTTTTTAAATATTTTGTTTTCACTTTATATTTTAACTAAGTACCGTATCTCTCATATTATAAAAAACTATTTATTATCAACTACTTTCAATCGAGTAATTAATATTCGAAGGACTAATTTTCAACAATTTTTGAAGTTCGATTTATGAAGTCCTGTATGATTACGCTTATACCTAACTGGAGATTGAAAAATTGACTCGAGAATAAGATGCTCTGTAATCACGCTTAAAAAAACAATATAACGTGTGCAATGACATGCTTTACAAGCAAGCAAAACAACCTTGACTACTCATTCTCAAGTACGAGCACGCTTGAGTACTTCTGGAGTCAATAGACCTTACTGGTGATAATCTGTGCTTATGTTTGTAAACATTTAAATGTTATCACTGCTTTGTATCTCTGCTGTTAGCTTCTATCAATATCCCCAATGTTTATCGTTGTATCAGTATGTATTAAATAAATCGGCGATAGTCCAAGCCAGCACAGGTAATCGAGATTTCAGATCAGGTGTTCTCTATATTTTGAAATACTATAATAAATGTTAATATTCTCATATTTGCGTATTCTAGTGTACATATGTTTCACATTCAGTTGTATTAAATATTCATGTATATAATATATGCATATATCTAACTAATAAAAGTAACGAAATGTATTTAACAAATAACGAACTGATCCACGAATCGACAACATATTTTTAACTTTACATGCCGCGGTTATAAAGTACTGCTATTAGGGATCCATGGAACTGATTAAATATACAATTTAAATCACGTTTAGAGAACTTGTTTCGGAAGGTTAAAGTCGCTCAGTCGTGCGATGAATGGCATAGTGATTCCGCGCACCTACATGTCGTGCAGCCATCGAAAACCTTGGCTCCGGAGAACCAATGCTTATTTAAAACGAGTAGGGATAGCATGAACTTGACCATTTGTCCTTTAACCGACGAAAACCTGTGCACATCATTCTGCATAACAATTAGAGATGGGTAAAACCTTATCTCGATAAAAAATTTACTCTTCGCCTTTTCATTACCAGTTATCGTACTTACGTTATTAAATCTCCTTTATCCTAAAATGACGTTTACATCCTGTGAAATTCAACGATTTTCTTTAACGAATGTTTTTTTTCCAGTCATCGTAGGGTTGCTAGTGCCTAACCTGGAACCGTTCATTTCTTTGGTGGGCGCTGTGTTCTTCTCCGTCCTGGGCATCAGTATACCAGCGATAGTGGAAACAATTTCATGCTGGGAGGGCCACCTGGGCAAATTCAACTGGAGGCTCTGGAAGAACGGCGTGCTTCTGGTGTTCTCGCTGTTCGCATTGGTATCCGGATCGTGGGTCTCCATAAGGGACATAATCAAAGAATATACAGAATCAAATTAGTGGTTTCCTTCGAGGAAGAAGAAATCACCGAAGCCAGTATACGCCAGAACATCTTCTTGACGTTCGTTCAAGAAGAGCGACACTGTTACGATTACCGCAACCTACGTTGCGTTGGAGCATTTATTCTTAAGACCTTTCATGTACATTCTGTATTTATTTTGACATTCTATTTAAGCATCTTTTTGTGACACGAATAACGTAATGGTTAGTTTGATTATTATGAAATTAGTTGTAAAGTATCGTCGCGTATCGTTTCGCCCAGGATTTGTTTCTTTATTTGTAACGAATTTAAATTAGAGAGAATTGGACGGAAGTAACGATAAAAACAGAGCATCGATAGGAGGTAAAGTTTTATTTATTGTAAATATACGCAATAAGAAAACGAATTTTAAAGAGAGAAGTGAGATTTTCGTACATATAAGAGTTTACTGATAGGGTGAATCTTGTTTAATAGTGTACATACATTTATGTAACGTAGCTGTAAGTGCACTTGAAAATATCGAATTAACGATCTAACTATTAGAAGTAATTATTTTTTATACGAAGAAAACAAGTGTACTTGATTGTACGTAAAATTTATATTAAACTATTTATAGAATTCTAACACAACGCTCCCAATTGAATTGAATGAATCTGAATCCCAAAACATGGCGGTTGTGAAGCGTGGTTTTTTCATCAGCAAACGTGATGCAAACGCAGTATACAACAGAAATCGATTGCCTGCTATAAATTGTTAAATTATTATAGAAGCCCTAATAGAATTTTAATACGGATATTACGAGAAACTTTCAACGCATTAATTTGTGTATAATTGTTTCTACATTGCACTCGCGAAATCTGTTGATTTCTACTATTACATAACTATTAAATAGGCTTTTATAATGTTAAAAATATTTTTCCATTCGTGTCTTTCGCTCTAAAAAGCAGGATACACGCGTTGAAGTCTGTCAAACGATTCAGTGGGTCGTCGCGGTGGCCTGCGTACGACACTATTCGTTTGCAAATTCGACGATACGAAAATCTCCTCTACCGTTAAATTTGATGTTTGCAATTTACGCTGAGCACAACCCCATAAAACTCCAGTAAGGAGGAGAATGTAGATACCGATGGTCAATGGAAGATATTGCAGATACCGAATTAATTGTAAAAGCCGAAGTAATTGATACGTGTCCGGTATACGAACCAACTCCAGCGTACCTCCCTGTAAAATATAACTTTGTTATTAGTTTAATCACCTTATTCGTTGTTTTAAGAAGATTGTAATCGTATCTTTTAACCCTTTGCACTTCGAATTATATTTCAATTTTGTTTTTATCTATAATTTGATGAAATGAAACTTTTTAGGTGACTGAGTTTCAAACAGGATCGTTGACACAAATGCTGCATCCTTTCTACCGTTAAATAGCCATCGAGAATCTTTACGGTATCTTTATTGGTTATCGAGGCATTGACTCGTAACTGGTCACGCGACTCACATTGAATTTATGTAAGCACTTTCATATTTGTTCAATTTACGTAACGCGTGGGTCTGTGCGAAAGAAATCAGGCCGAAATATCGATCAGTTTTCATCTCGAAAGCAAAACATTAAAATGCGTTACATAATATATTTAAACTTCCATGGTCAATGTATTAATAGAGAAAGGTGTTAGGTATTTCTATTTTTTTCAGATTAAATGTTTTCTTTTGGGAGAAATGCTATTAATGTATATTATTAATAATTTCGCAAAGGTAACAGTGCAAGACGTAACGTTTTAACTTGTTTAAAGTATTAATCTTCGTGTCTTTGATATTTGGATAATTATCTATAGAGAATTATTTTAATAAATATGATACAATGTATAACCACGCCCATTTTGTAAAATACTAATGTAGAAGATAATGATAATTTAGAAAAATAGCCTTACACTTTTGCACCATAGGATGGGGAAGTATCCTTCGCTGACATTTGCGAGAAGTTCCACTGGTTGTCTAGTCAGCTTCAGATTTACTTGCGAAGCCTTATTACCAGAAATTGGTGCGCCACTCACGTGTTCGATAATAATAAACGTTTCATGGAGATCTTTGTCGGGTTTCAAGCCACGAGCATACGTTAGAAGCTCGGGATCGCCGTGGAGAAAGTGTGGTTCCGAGGAAACTACAGGTAATTTCTGTAACGAGCCAAACATCATATTATAGACAAGTACTTCTCATTATTCGACTGCGAATATTTATACACACGTACATTTTAAACTATTTTCATTCCCGTTTCATCTATTTGATTTTCACACGTTATCGACAAAGATTAGCGAATTTGCAGAATTAGAGTACAAAATTATCATAGAAACAAGGATAACCATTTCTTGTAAAAATGCATCTCATTATGGTTTGTACGATTCTTGCTAACTATTAAGTGTATACCTTTTAATGGCACTCAATATACTTTGTTTCAATAAATAGTTAAAACTAACAGAATGCTAATAAATTTAATTTGATTATTGAGTGCTAGTAAAATTTATGCAATATTTAATGTAACATCTTAAAAGTATTACCTGACATTCTGATGTATCTAGTAAACCTTGTGGCAGACACTTAATTTCATCATTTACCCTCGGACAGTAACATTGTGACTCGTTCAAAAACCATGCCCTTTCGTTTAACGCAAATTTCGATCCTTTTACACCGTGTATCGTAACTTCTTTCACGTAATCAGCGTCTAGAGACCTAAACACGTTAACAATTCATATCGGAAAGCTTTGAGTTTATGTTATCACTTTCGATAATAATATTATTGCACCTGCACATATCCGGCGAGAACGATGCAACGGAAGATATTGGCTTTACTAATGGTGCCCAAAGGATAGTGTCGGTTCCTCTCACTTTATTACAACTTTCAGAGTACCACAAATCTAGCATTCTCTTTTCCATATAGGCTGTTGTGTCGCCCAAGAGACTTATGTTCTTTAAGCCCCTGTTAATAGTAAATGGACCACGAATAGTACCATTTACCTGTCGAATAAAGAAACTCAATATAATTATTTATATACAAGTCGCGGTCTTACATGTAAGTACATTTACAATTATTTATTAACATATTATTGTAGTGTCCGCGCCTCCCATACCCAACAATAAGGAGTCAAATAAGAACACGAAACGTAGGGTGCGGGATTGGTCGCGTAGGTAAAGCGGGTCGACTGTGGATCCGAGGATCGTGGGTTCGAATCCCCGTGTCTCATTTTTCGGTTAGACTCCTACATTATATTATAAATTCATAATCTATTTATTCGCTGAATGCAGAAAAGCTATTTAAAGGAAGCCTTTGGCTATATTAAATGTTTGCAAAATATTTTCATTAATATTCCGATATTTGACAGATTTGATCGGATTACATCTCATATCACTCTGACTATTAAATGTTACCCTTTGAAAGAAACTCAGGAGATAAGCTCCTTCATTTTCTGTTCGTCTTAAAACCGGTGGTGGCTTAGATTCCATCGTCTTGCATATGAGATTTAATTCAGGAAACTTTTTCGTGTTGCACGATACTTTAACTCCATTAAACAGTAGATCGGTGGGACGAGCTTTCAGAAAAATACTACTGCGGTTTGGAAATAATTTCGGTATGTGGTCACCGTATTTTTCCATGAAATTAGGGGGCAAGGTCGCCAACTGCAAAGGAATATTCTTATTAAGCTAAAATAAATTATTTTCGAATATCGATAAATTTAATTCGGAGAATTAAATTCGAAGAATTTTATTTAAAAAGGATGATTTATTTAGATTACGTCCTTGAAATATTTAAATATTTTAACGCATATAGTATCATTTGCTTAATTGTTATTAACATTTAACATTCTATTTGTATTTTTATTTACCATTGATATGGTGCCTATATATGCCGGATTTAATATCGTTACTTTATTATGGCTAGTTACATTCAGGCTCTGCCGTTTGTTGAAGGCGAATGTTGACCTCGTTGTGTACGTGATTTCGTCGTTTTCCTCATCAATATCTATCACTTGTTTTTCGAACGTTTCGCTAGAATCGAAACGGTGAATATTTAACAGAAAAAAATCTAACAGATTTTATTAAAGCACAGTTGTTTTTACGTATTTAGACTCGAATAAAAGGCAAAAAGCGAAATAAAATCCAATCGACTTTGTATTAGTTTGTTAAATCTAAACTAATGTCTAACGCAATGAATTGGATAATATTATGCTTACTCATAAGTAAAGGGGCCATATTCGACCAAATTTGGATTTTCCCCTCGCATTACGTCGTCAGGATTAGTAACATTGAACAAGTAACATGTGAATTGTAAAGGTATAGGATTTCTCCACGATTCGTAAATTGCTGTACCATCCACGAGGTTTACTTTCTGAAGATTATGTTACGTGAACGTTGGTTAAGTGAGTTTCTTTTTCCATATAAATTACGAATTAGTTAAAAATTTATATAAACAATTGTACGGGATATTACATAAAATGTAAAAATTAACGTCATCACAATCATTGTTTGTCTTAATTATATAGCATTACCATTAAATACTCAACTAGTTACATTAAATAGAAATATAGTTTCAGCTTACCTTTTGTATAATATATGTTATATACTGTACCATGTATTGTTCAACAACAACTATTATGCCAAGCAGAATCAGAATAACTCCGAGTACACCGTAAAAAATCATTACTCTTTGTTTATCGAATCAATTATTAATCACACATTAACTGCTTTAAACGTACTTGTTAAATGTTATAAATGTAAAGAAACAGAAGATGTAGAAACAGAAATGTATATTTCTTTTGAAAAGTTAAAGAGAAGAGTTAAACAGAAGAGTAATATAAAATTCGAAGCTATAACTATTTAACTAGTACATTCGTTTGGTTTCAGAATCATAATACAGAAGCACTCATCTGTTCTACGTTTGCACTGAAACTCGAGAACTACGTAATGAAACTAGTCTTTTATTTAGTGAATAATTTATTTCTGCAGTTCCGTCACGCATATGAACGTAATAGATAACATCGCCAACATGAAATATTTGTGATTGTAGCATTAGCAATTAATTTAATCATTATCTGCAGAAATTAAGTTCCTCCTGCCACGCTATTGTTTGTTTAGGATCAATATTCCGCATACATTGCTGATATCATAACATACTTGTATTATTATCAAGAATAAGTAAACGTAATACGATTCAATAATGCCACGTGGTGAGACCTGGTAATCGGTATTACTTGCTACGAAAGATTGTTTGAACAAGCTTTCGTAACCTTCTGAGTTCGTAGCTTCGAAAATGACTGATAACAAGATCAAAATTTAAATTGAATTTATTGAATTTAAAATTTGTATTCTACACACGTGATAGAGTATAGCGTGTCCATCTAGCGGTGAATACCCTGAATTAACTTTAAACTACAGCCTGATAACTTTAGTCTGCTATGGACAAACTGTTTTATCAACAGTCTCAACCCTTCATTAGTACGTTCACCACCCAGCAGGTTTCGAATCGAGCAATGTGGAGCCGCGCATCGTGCATGCCGGACAACAGTGACAGAGAAAGAATCAAATGGCGGCGTTATTTTAGTTTCGTTAGAAATTCCTATTTCTTAACGTTCGCCGCCATCGAATTCAGTTTTATTTAGCCTGTTTACATTCACGAGTTGTAACTTTTCGTCGCGGTGACTGTGATTTTCGCTGGATCCGAGAATTACGGGAGAAACGAGCGATCGTGGACAGCATAACCTAACATAGTCGTAGAGCGTTTGTGTTTAACCACGGTTCCAAAGGATGGCAATGAACGAAGACTTCAGCTTCGCCGAATTGTGCAGACTTTGCTCATTGAAGAGTAATCATCAGCTTCAGATCTTCGACAAAGAAGGCGAACAACGGCAGCTACTTTTCAAAATACGTTCCTGCATTCCTGCTGTGGTGAGTCAAATACTCCGTTTTCCTCCAAATATTCTCTCCGTTTAATTGGAGTATTTGTCAGTCATACGACACATTTTTAAAAATCACTTTAAAATATTCACCTTGGCCAGTCGATTTTATGTTAAGTTTTATTTATAAACTAAGTCATAGGAATCTGGTATTAATGCATTTTCTATCATTAGGAGTGCAATTATACAGTCATCATTAGGATAGTACTACAATATATAATAGGTTTAGAAGAATCTTTGAAAATTAAGTACACAGTCCAATCGATTCTGTGGTACAAATACGTTGTCTACTATTATAAGTGCAATTATTTATGTTTGGAGTACTCTTTGGATACTTATAAGCATCTTTTTAAACTAGATCTCTAATTGATTTTATTAGATTAGATGAAACTAGTACAAATAAGTACAACTACTGCTGCAATATTGTTAGAAAAGCATTGTGTTACATTAAAGCATCAATTAAACTAGATGAATTGAATCAGGCAATATAATTTGATGTAACTTATTGTCAGGTTTGAGAGATAGCAATGGAGTTAGGTTTTATAGTGATTCTACCATGTTCTGTTCAACTGAGTATTACCATTGTTGTACGTAACATATGTGCTTAAAATTAACATAGGATTCGAATTAAGATTGTATCATGTAATGTATTTTTCATGTTATGTCATGTTCTTTTTGTAGAAGCATTAAAGTCAAATTTAACTGTTTAATGTACGCACACATGAAATTTGTTTCTGTGCAAGCAGGATCTCGAGAGCAAAAGTAGAGTAAATATAAAACTTGAAAAATTTAGTTACTTTTATATTTTAGTCCCTTTTAAGAAATACTGAATTCTAAGTATTCAAACTACAATAAAATTGTAGCATATTTATGTGTGGGCACTCATTATTCTTTGAATTAAAAAATTTGGAGTACTTTTATAGCTGAACAGATTTCAATGTTCCATGACTTCCTAAATCATCTTTGAAATTACACATTGTTTCTTAACTTAATTTAAATGATTTGTAATTTATGTATTTTTATTAAACTTAAAATTTTTATTATAAGAGATCACCGATTGTCTCCTTGTTTCAACTACAATGCTTGTCAGTAATTAATTTTTATTTTGCATGTGCCTAAATAAAATGAAATGAAATCAATGCGAAGTTATTGCAACTTTTTTTTTGTGGATGATACGTTAAATATAAAATTTGTTCCAGATAACTAAAGAGGATGCACTTCCAAAAAATATTTGCCAGAGATGCGTGTATAAATTGGACATGTTTTACGAGTTTCGTGTGAGCTGCATGACTACAGACACGGTGTTAAAAAATTACGCGGACAGTTTGAAGCATCTCGCCGCATCTGTGAACCAGGTAAATCAATATATTTCTTTATTTATATATAGCCATTTTGTCGTGGAAACAAATTAAAATTCACATTTTATATCTACGCGAAATATTCTTCGAAAGAGTTATTAAGTATAACTTCATTTTTCGAAACGTGAAAGTTTCATTCATGTTGTTACGTAATTTAATAAAAAAGAAAAACTATGAATATATCTTCAATTATATGAACATAAGAAATCTTTCGGTTTCTAACACAAGATACTCTTACACATGAATGTTTATCTTATTTTATACTATACAATGAGCCGTGACTTAATTTTTTCGTGCGCAAAACAATTGTTTTTATTTCTCCAATACGATTCCAAAATGATTCTGTATTCTGTAATACTCAATCACAATAGTTTTCTTGTTATCGTCGCAAAAATTGTTTATGAACTGAATATACCCTATGCTTGAAGATCGCGTGATGCATCGTACATAAGGAGTAAAGGTAGGTGATAGTCTGATCAAAATTAATTGACCACTCAAGGCTACTGACGGTTTATCCCCACCCATCATTCAGCTGATCTGCGCTCCATCTATCGTTTCTTTGCGCAAACGTACGGACATACGTTTTCTTTTTCAACGGAGCTGTTTTATATCTAAACTGATTTTAATTGTTATAATTGACGGGTACCTATTTATCAACGAGTAGCACCAACACACATTAAAGTAAAGCAATTGCAAAAAAGACAATTGCGTTTTTGATCTACTGTACCAAAGAAGAAAACTGTATACATAAAATACGCTTTCAAGTACTTTTTAATCATATTTTTTTGATGACATACTTTTTCTTGTCTGTTTACAAATAAACGGTAATCCGTAAGCAGATAATTCCGATGAAAGCAGGTGTTGAAGTTTGAGTGTGTATACATAAAGTCGGTCAAAGGTGGAATCGGTGAAACAGCGTCTATGTAAACGCCGGCGAAGCGTTTAATGTTGATTTGGAGTGCTCTCGTCTCTCGATCAAAGAGGCAAGTCGGAGCAGCTTGAATGTAGAAATAGTATCTGATGGGATTCCCAGTTAAGGATGTGATCTTAAACGTTTAATTGGATAGGTCAGGTTATAAAGGGTTTCCCATAAGGCTAAATACGTCGGATATTTTTCACATATAATTAATAAAAAAAATTCTAATATATTCTATATAATCTGTGTCATGATTACATATCGTGGAGAGAATTCTGCGAAAGGTCTTTTATTATTCTTCTTTGCAACTATTTATTTTCTTTCCAGAGCGTTACATTATACGTACAAAGTCGAATTCAGCAAAAATACTTCAGTTACAAACAAATTAGAATTGTACTAGAGTATGTTAAGCACACGCACCGTCTCTGTACGTTAAATTATCATTTTATCAGAGTAACTCATCAAAAGTTTATCCAAAGGTCATACGTGGTTAAATTTGTCTTTTTATCGTTTAAAATATTACTGTAATGAAAATACATCATATCATTTAAAAAGACGAATAAGTTTCAGCGTTAAGAACATACGACAAAGACTAGTTTATTCGATTAATAAATAATGAAGATATTCTGGTCATCATATGGAAACAGTTGTAACACTTTTAGTTTCATTAATTTTAAAATAAAACTCACAGAATTCATAGATGAAAATAGAAAATTTGTGAAGTATATCATGATTTTTCAACGAAAAACCACGTTTATCTTAGAAGAGTTTACAATGGTCATTTCACTTTCGCTTACACTAGTCCCATGTGGGCCCCTAAAAGTTGTTTCGATAACATGCCCTTCCATTGGCCAGCGAGCCATACTTTGCTCACTACCTTAACGAGTATGACTGGCGATACATTTATAGATATTCACAACGTTGCCATTAAACGTAGCAACAAACGAGCAATTCACAGACGCGCTTGTTTACGGGTACCAGTTTATTTGCTCCTAATTGATTTCACTAGACATTGGACGGGCTTAAGCTGCGCGACCATGTGATTTACGACTGGGAGCAAGTGCCTTACAAATGAAGGCAACAGCGTTAATAAAGGTACATTAAAAGTATGACATAAAGCGCGCGGTGTTACGAATCCTGTGCCTTTGCTCTTCTTTTTTTCCAAACACTGCATATACTTGGTTTTAAGATGACAATAATAAGAGTAACTGTTACGCAAGTAACAGTACACAAGTTCCGCAAAGAATTTTCTTATAATTTTGATAAGTATAGTTACTCGTATTTTTCGTACGACACTCGACTAAATCATTTTGTTTGTTTTTGTTGTTGTTGAAAGGCTTAGATAAAAATGAAGTTGAATACATACATGTTTTTGTTTATTTAGATACAAATTAGTGTAAGTGGTTGGCGAAATGTGTAAACAGTTTATGCAACTTGTCTTGTGAAATTCGAAATTATGAATAACTAGTGTTAACAACTACCGAGGACAACGCATACCTATAATACATAGAACTATATCTTAATTAAAGGTAGGAGGAAATTAATATTCTAATTAAAATCTCAATCAATAATCCCTATTACAATAATAGTCAAACATTGAAGTAAAACCATCCTTATAATAACTGAGATACCTTAGAAAGACGTTTACTGGTCGAATTAATCGGCTTGCTAATTTCACTGTAAAAAGAAACATACTTTTGTCGCGCAAAAGAACGGATTTTGGCCCGCGGGTGTGTCGGGTTGAGGCGTCGCTGGGTTGGAATTTATCGCCGTACAAGCCGGACACGAATAGCCGAGGAACCGGGCTATCCGAGTCGCTCGTACGTATCCTAGGAAGTACCCGGAGGACTCTTTACAAGCTCATAAACTCGCGCGGCAATTTCCGACACGACGCGTTAAAGTGACTTTATGCGTCGAATGGGTGGCCGACACGAGTTCCACATTTCCAGCGGCGTAAAAAGCCCTTTACGCGACACGCGCTCGGTTTGTACCACCTCTCCGTCTTCGTTCCACCTTCCCATTCGCGGTTGATCCCTGCTCGTAGTACCCGATAAGCGTCCGAAGACGAGGGGCTGGCGAAGGTAGACGGTTAGATCCGCGTAAAAGAGAGCAACGGAGAAGGAGCGAAACGAGGGGCGTCGCTGATCGGTAGCCGTAGGTACTTGATTTCTCCGTCCTTCCTCCAGCCCTTATGTCCAACGAAGCGTGATCCCAATAATTCCACCCTCGCACACGCGGATCATCGGGGCAGGAGGGGGGAAGGGGGAAGCTGGAAGGGATAATATACAGATAACCACGCAGGATGAACAGATAGGGCGCCAGAGAGAGAGAGAGAGAGAGAGAGAGAGAGAGAGAGAGAGAGAGAGACGGATCGCGCCGAATGGCGAGGACAGGAGGGCTATATGCGCCGGGTGTGTATGTATATGTACAATAGATGTGTGTGCAACCGTCGGCGTCGCGCGGCACTATTGATCGACGCTCCGCGGCTAGGCTGCGTCGCGCACAGAAAGCGAAAGTCAGTTCTCCTTTTCTTCGACGTCTCGCCTAGTCCCCTCTTTCTTTCCCTTTCCTTCGGGAGCTCGCGATCTCGCTTCTTCTTCCCGCCAATTCCTTCGTCTTTAACCGCTACCCTTCTCTCACCCTCCCCCCCCCCCCCTTCCGCTTGCTCCCTTTTTCTCCGTCCCTCCGACGCGTCCCGGTCGCTCCCCAATCCAAGATCGTTCGATCCCCTCCCCAACGCGGTTGACCCCTTGGATCTCCTTGTCCCGGGCACAGGTGCAACGAGGAGCCCAAGACCTGCATCTCCTGAAAACCTGTTTTCTGGCCTCTGAAATAAACGTCGTAAACGGTCGACGAAGTCTCGTTACCCCGGGGTTTGATCGTTGACGCGGTTCGATCCCGGACCGGGGTAAAGGCGACGCGTCGGGACGACGTTCGGTTCCCGCGGTACGCCGCGTTCAAGTTTCGCCTAATCGCGTATACAACGTCCCCGACGATTACCCGGTGGCTCGGGTCCGCCTTCGTTTCTCTCGCTCGCTCAGTCAATGTCAGTGTCAAGGTCAGCGGGCCGACGCACTGCAGAGCGCCGCCGCCGCCGACGCCGACACCGACGTCGGCCGCTGGCTGCGCGCTGCTCTCTTCCGTCATTGTGTGTATCCGGCAGGCGAGTCACACGGTAGCTGTGTACACGACGCTAGGTATACACCGAAGGTCTCTTCGCGCGCATACTTGCCTCTCTAGGGCGTCCCTGTCTTGTTCCCCTCTCGACCCCCTCCCGCCCCCTGTTCCCTTTCCCTCTCGCTCTGGCGGTCGCGCCGGCCACGATGCGTTCCACGGGGATCTCCATTCGATATCGTTGCACCGCGCTGTCTCGTCCGCGTATCGCGACTCCCGGGGCCTGCGTTTCTTTTCCTCCGAGCCGATCGCGGTATCAGTGCTGGTTCTCGCACCTGGTCGCGTCGACTTGGTCTCCGCGCGGTTAACAGACCCGCGGATCCGGTATAACAGTTTTACACTTGACCCGAGTGCAACCCGTCGTCCCGTTTTTGTCCAGTCCGTGCAGCTTGCATCTGCCAGTCGTGTCGCTCCGGTCCAGCCGCCGCGGTGCATTCCGCGGGGACCTCCACTCGATATCGTTACGCCGCGCTGCGTTCGTGTGTCACCCGGCTATTTGGTCTCTCTCTGTCTCTACCACCACCACCGTAATCTCTCCTCTCCTGGTCTCTCTCTCTCTCTCTCTCTCTCTCTCTCTCTCTCTCTCTCTCTCTCTCTC